GCTAACAAGTAATCTCACAAAACTCTGTCCTCTTTGCTTCTTCCTTCCTCAACATGACATTGTTGGGGTTATCTATTAAGCCGATTCCCTACTATCCTCTCATCGCCCACGTAGTCAAATATACCCACTATCAAATAAGATTACGATCTCATCAGTAATTCCAGGTACATTTACATTATTTTAACCTATTTATACAGAAGCAAAACTCCACTTCGTCTATTCCTTTGTTTTATTTACTGGATTAATTACCTTAATTAAATTTGCTTTTTATTTGATTGCTCTAACCGAACTTGCTCAGCCCTCGTTTGACATGGTATTTGCAATAGAAACTAAGCCTTTTTTTTTTTATTACAATTGCTATTCTATTTGGGACGGTTTAGACAGACATTAATTTTCTTCTTTTCTCCAATTGTTCCGTTATGACATTCATTATCCGAATGATTCTTATCACAAAGAGCAAAAGGTCTTCTTTTCTTCCTTAATGACACTTTTTCTGGCCCCATATTGTTGGCGGATTTCTTCTCTGGCCAGCATTTGATCTAATGGTGATGGATCCCATCCTTTTAACTTTTCAAGAAGTTTTTATAATTTTTTTTTTTGTTGATTGTACTTTTTACCAACTTTTTATCATAATGATCGACATTTTCTGACTCATGGCATCAAAAATTTGTAACTTTTTTTTTGGTTTGACAACCTCAAATGCTAGCGAAAACTTAATTATTTGATTGGTGCAGAAAAATAATTGAGATTGTAAGAGAGAACATAACTTATGAAACGAAAGAGTTTTACAATCTGCACACTGAATAACTTCACATTAATATTCACATTAATATTTAGTTAAATTTTCATGACTCAGAAAATTCAATTAATTTAATTCGATTGCATATTATATCTTTTACAAAATTTGTATTTATAATGCTAATTGCCAACTGAGGAGGAAATTTTTTATTTCAAAAATCGATCAAATAACGAGTGAACATTGCAAGAATTACAGAATTTTGGCTATGAAAATGTCAGCTATAATTTAAACTCAATGTTTGATATTTATTTGACATATCACGTGATCAATATATAAATCTGGTGCGTTGTGTAATATTCGCTTGATATATTCATTACTGAAAAAAAAAGGCTGTTTTGACATTAGTTGTGCTAAACTTTTGATAAAAAATTTGATTAAAAAGCAAATTTTTTTTTTCATTTTAAAAGTAAAAAAATTTGCTTTTTCAAGAAAGTTTATTGAAATGTTGGATGTATTAAATTCGCGAGTTTGCTCGCATTAATTAATTTGAAACAATTGATGAAACTGAAAGCGGTTGAATTTTCAGCTGTATTTAACTGTGTGCAAAGAAACTTTTGGCAGAGATTGGATTGAATCGAACGTCACATAAATACTTTCAACATATTATAGCAAATAGATTTCTTTTTTTTTTAGTTAAATTATCGAAAAGACGAACCTAACTGGAGAAATTCCTCCCTGTATAAAACGACATAAACTTGTTTGTTTACATTATTTCAGAATGAACGATTTCTGTATACTATCTTGATTGTATAAATTTCTAAACATTAAGGATGCTTGAAAATGGATAGTTCAAGTATTGTTGATCACATTGATGCATATTTCCTTACTATGAGTGCTTGCTCTGATGATCAATCTGAAATTGATGTAAGCTTGCTTCTCTTTATGTCCAATTATCGAGGGTAGATATTTCACAAAATGTGCAAATAAAGCAAACTCTAAAAACGAAAAGTTTCTCGCATTGTTTCTAGAAAAATAAATTTTTCCGAAAATGTGCGCTTCAATAAGTTTAATTATCCATAATATTTAATACTGTTTGTTTTGTAGGAAGAAGATAGAACACAATCAAAGTTAATCACTAATATGACAAAAATTTCAAATTGAAACTGTATTAAGTGTCAAGCAGTAGAAACGTTTCAACCAGAATTTTAATCTCATCTGTCACTGCAGAACAATAGTAAGACGGGAATGGATATCCCAAGAACTGCAATTGATCATAATGAAGGTCAAACTCAACGACAGAATACTAAATATAAATTAGGTTTCTGGATTTATTATCTTCGATGTATGTGTTGCTATAAAACTCGACGACACGGTAAACATTTTGTTCACCGCGAAGGTACAATGTAGTGAATAAAACAAGTTTTGGAAGTATAATTCACTTGCTAATGGCTAATTAATCCAGATTTGTTGGAAAAATCGGCCAAATATAAAATTCTTCCTTTTTAGATTTATAGTGACAATCATAATAATAATTAATTTGCTGAAGTGAAGGATAACATGCCTTCGATTTAAATGGTCGCAAATGATTCTTTTAAATTTGCAAAAAGACAGGATCCTTTGAAAATATTACTTTCAGATCCATCATTAGGTGCTCTACCTCTTGAATGGCTAAATCCTGATAGAACAAATTTTCGTACGCGGAAATTAGGAGGTTTTAACAAATACTCTTGATGTGCTTACTGTTATAATATGCTATGCTTTACCAATTCATTCATTAATATCACTTTAAGATTTTTGAAATTCACAAACTTGAACATATCACGGCTATGACAATTTTTATCGTTCTATTCGCGTTATAGATCATCACAGCAACAGCCAATCAGATGACAACGAACATTCTAAGAGTAGTTTCTCCACAACGGAATCTAATACTGTATAAAATTATCACCAGTGGGGACGAATTGAATCATAAGAATGGGAGGAATTTATGATCGGAAGAGTTGCACTGAACATTTAAACTTGCACTTATGATAAGGTATAAATGAATCTGTTATTCTCAGAAGAAATGATTAGCTTTCCTTTATGATAATGAAATGATAAATGATTATTCATTACTTCGGATATACTGTCTCTCGTCATTATATTTCATACGGTAATATAGAATAGAATGAATACAC